TCCCATTCTTTGTAATTACTAAGAATGGTTTGATTTTAAGGAATCGTTTGTATATGTTAAAAACAATAAAAATTTCGGAAAAGAATTTAATATTACAAATCTGCGCTCTAACCAGCGTAATTTGAGTTAAATTTGTAAAATCTCTCCAGCCTCTGGTGAAGAATTAAGACAAAGAGAATTCACTCGATTGACAGCAGGCTGAACCTTGGGGCTTTTCTTCTAACAAGTGGGCAGACACTGTTCAGTTGCAGACCACATGCCCACTAGAAAAGTTCACAATACGAAAACAATACTGAGTAAGACCTTCCCTTATAAATATTTCGAAAAGTGGAAGCGAGCCTTCGTGAGGGTGGCATCCACTGTCAGAGTCTTTGATACGAATTTGACGGGAGTCTGGGGGGATCGTCACTCCTCGCATCGGCAATCAGAACGGACTTGTCACCTGGGAAAGACAGTACACCTTAATACTTAGACAGAAACGACAATATAGCTGCTTTTGTCCCGATGAATAGCCATTGCAGGGAAGTCTCCGAACCTCAAGATTATGCGAAAACATTACACAATTCTACAACTGCACAGTCAACTGACTGCTGGCCTCCATCAGCGTGTTTGGGACGTGTGCACGCAAATTTCGGGAGGAAGAAATTTAATATCACACACACACACACACACACACAATGTGTTGGTAAGCAGATACTTGTGTTCCATCTGTCGAAAAATCTGGAGAACATTCATTCCGCCTTTGTTACGGTATGGTCAGTGCGAGGTAACACTCCAAAATATTTCGGAAAGATATGACCTGGGGTTATATGTTCGAACTTTCATAAAATGGAAAGAATTTGATCCCTTTTCTATCCAACTATCTTTAAGGCACAGATTAAGTTGCATTTAAGTTAATAACAGCATATCTGAATACATTTATGTACAAAATATTTTTTACTTTGTCAGTACATACTGCATTGATGTTAAAGTTGTCCCATATCTGGAATTAATTTTGTCTCTCGGGCATTTAATAAAAGAGTTACCTTAATTTCTTGGGGAGTCAGCCTCACTCTTCTAATAAAACTGGTATAATTCACACATGTTTATCAGAACATTAAGAACATGCTTACAAATAAACAAAAATAAAGGTTACGTTTATAAGGATTACAAATCATAAAGAGAAAGTGTGGAATTTGGCTACATCGCGAGGTTCGTAATACTACCGTCTGTATGATTTGGTATGCATGATTCTCTATACTATGGACATTTGAAACAAACATTTCTTAAGACAACAGAAGGGGAGAAGTTATTTTTTTCTTAGCACAAAAAGACTCATCGTATGGAAATATGTACGCAGCTGAGAACATGTCTTTTTCAAATATCTATAAATTAAACATAAATGTAATTTTTATTGTAATGAAATTTAGTGGTTAGGCTCAAATTCAGTTTTATTAAATTCTCCACAGTCGCTGTTAAAATTAGAAATATACAGAGGTATGAAGAATTTATTCGTTAAATGAAAGAGTATACGACCACAGAAGAAAATGGCTAAACCACTTACAAAGGATGGACAGATAAGAATCCCAAAATGTGCCCTTCAATGCAAACTAAAAGAATATGCAGACAGGAAGACTATCAAAGATGATGATGACGTAGGAAGAGATTTAAGGCTATTTCACATAGTCAAAAGCAGAATGAGCTGCAGAAAGTGATGAAAAATCACATGAAGATGTGAAAAAGCTTAATTTCTTTTAAGAATAATGAGTGCAATACGGCAGAATGTTAATGTATAATAGTGAAAGTTATGTATAAGCTATATATAATTACATTTCGTAATCATTAATTTAAAAGTTTTGTTTTAAAACAATTATTAGAAAGATGTGGGAACTACAAAATGAACTTAAAAAAATACAGAGAAAAGGCAATTAGTGTGATATGAGGACATTAGACGAAGGCAGCAGGATGATAATCGAAGAGAATGTTGCACTGGTAATCTGCGGAGAAGAGAAATCGTACACACCACAGAAGAAATTGGAGAAGTATGTGGAAAGAACCATGGGATCCAGAGGACTACCAGAGAGTATCTGGGAAGACAGGGATAATAGACGAGTGTGGAACAAGGAGATACTCGTACTGCATCCGACAGATATTAATTTGTACCACCTGTTCTCACGCAATATAACCTGAAATCACTTCAAGATGAGCAGGCTTTTAATTATATTTGTAGGCAGTAAACATCTGAAAGTTAGGAAAGTTACTGATTCCCGTTCTTTCCAAAAGATAAACCACAAGTTCACCTAAAATTCATTTCAGAATATTGCTTACTAAAAAAATACACATTTTTAAACAAAGTTCTTTGTTTAAACAGAGCCTCAATATTGGAGCTGAATCTTGCAGATGAACAGATACACGTAGGATGGATAATAAGTACATTAAAATATATTTTACAGATAATTAAAACAGTGTACACAATTTATGACAGCCTCGTTAAGGTCTGTAGAGGTGATCATTAGAATTTTACATGGAATGTGAATGGCTGAGACATCTTTATAAAACTGCGGTCACGTGTCATGCGTTATATATCTTTTTATTAAGGCGTTTATAAAATCTGTAGGCTAAGTATTCTGGAGTTACACTAACACACGCTTATATTTTCTTCGAATTGGCATCTTCTAATAACATTTAAACTCTTATTTTAAACATATTTCTGTCTATTCCTTCACTGTATAAACTCTGAAGCCGCTGACGACGAGGCAACCTAACCTACAAAACCATTTTGTATTTTATCGTATTTACGTAATTATCCACTATGAAATGAACCATTATAATTATTAATAAGCAAATAGGTTTGTGTTTTCACAATTCAATTTTTCTCAATATTAAGAAATGTAAGCTTACAATAGAAATAATTAATTTACTACTACGTCCTTGGAGAAGAAATACATTGTATTAGTTGCGTCACAGAACTAGTACAATTCTTATAATTATATTACTTTTAAAGCATGTCGTAAGTGATCACGAGCAGCACCGAATAATTGTTACATTCACTTCAAGTGTTTCACAGCGCATATCAGAGGCGACACAGACCTTTTATTAAAAACGAATAAGAAAATTATGGGCTATATATAGGTACAAGACGCCGAATTAAATAATGAGCACAAAAATATCACGGGCAGTGTCGCGGTTCAAACAGTCGACAAGAACGTTAGTAAAATTCGTGTCAGCAGAGCAATACAATACACGAGCAGTTTGTTTTAGACTTTAGATATATTTAGCGTGCGTAGAAAACACATTAATACGAAAGTCACACACGTGCATACTTTTTAGTGACACTTGGATATTTAGAAATAACACGGTTAGGGATGTTTTATAAACTATAACATTTTAACGACGTTCATAACAGAAGTTGTAGATTAATTATTTTTGTAATCAGTCACCGTTTTTTTTAGAATTTCCTTACTAAGTCAGGATGCAGTATTAGTATGTGCGAAGCAGCAGGGAGGTAGACTGAAATGTAATCAAGGGACAGTTGAAAGTGGCACAGATGATAAATTAGTTCTAGAAAATGTTGATACAGTTTGATTTGAAGAAAATGTAATATCAGACCCTCTAAGCAAAGGACCATGCAAGTTAAGTGCAGTTAAATGGGGTGCTTTTTCCATAACATCTCTTGTTGAGAAGATAATATACAACTGAAATTTTTCAATATATGACAATAAACAAATTAACAAGTAATTGTTAGTATATATTAGTTTGAAATTAAAATGTTAACACTGATAGCTTACTAAATTTGATTTCTATTATTGGAACAACGTATGGAATATATTTGAAAATCTGAGAGCTTACAAGGCGCACTCAAGTTTTTATAATTAAAACATTCGATAATCAGTCTCAAATACGTCACTAAATCCAATCAGTGTTTCAAGAACGTGTCCATCGATACAAAATGCGACGTTACATGGGTTTATATATTTTCTTAACTCATATAAGAATGGTGCATAAAATTTTTTGAATATAAACCATGCATGCAGTTAAAATGCCAAGGGATACTCACACACATGTAGACTTTTCTGCAAGATCGGCTGGATATTTTAACATTCAAGAAGCAAGAAGAGGTAGAGATGAAGTGAGACGCGTGTGGAACACCACCAAGGCCGAGACGTGTGATTCCAAAGCACTCACCTGTGTCCACAATGACGTCGATCAGGTCCATGCTCTTGGCGAAGGCGTCCCTCAAGTTGATGTGGTGGAAGGACACGATGCTTCCCTCCCGCTTGGCACGTTCCAAGGCCTCCCGTCTCTTCAGTGCCTTTTCTCTTCTCATCTGGTTCTTGTAAAACTCCGCAAAATTGTTTACGATGATGGGAATGGGTAGCGCAATAACCAGGACCCCACAAATGCAACAGACACTTCCTATGACTTTCCCCAGCGGGGTTGTCGGGTAAATGTCCCCATAGCCAACTGTAGTCATGGTGATACCAGCCCACCAAAACGTCTCAGGTATACTGATGAATTTAGTATCCTTTTCCTCTTTCTCTGCGAAGTAAGCGAGACTCGAAAATATGAGCACGCCCATGGCAAGGAAAAGCATGAGGAGACCAAGTTCCTTATAAGAGTTTCTGAGCGTGAAGCCGAGACTTTGAAGACCCGTGGAGTGCCGGGCCAGCTTCAGGATTCGAAGAATTCGCATGATCCGGAAGATTTGGACCACACGACGCACGTCTTGAAACTGATCCGTCGCGTTCTTGTTGGTCTCGAGAAGGAACAAGGACACGAAGTAAGGCATGATGGCCAAGAGGTCAATGACGTTGAGGCCACCTTTAAAGAACTTCCACTTGTTTGGGGAAGCACTGAAGCGGAGGACGTATTCAAGCGTAAACCAAGTGATGCACACCGCCTCGACCATCGCTAGTTGAGGATTGTCCTGAAAGTTGCCCTTTTCGTCATTCACCTGAAGGCTGGGGATGGTGTTGAGCGTCAATGCGATCGTCGACAGTACAATAAACAGGATGGAGATGACGGCTATCACCTGCAACCGGCACAAAGGGGATTGAGCTGAGCTGAACTGAAGGGATAGGTCAGCGTCTGAAC